GGTCATGTATGGATGTGAGAGTTGGACTATGAAGAAAGCTGAGCGCCGAGGAATTGATGCTTTTGAACTGTGGTGTTGGAGAAGACTCTTGAGAGCCCCTTGGACTGTAAGGAGATCTAACCAGTCTATCCTAAAGGAAATCAGTCCTGAATATTCATTGGAAGGACTGATGCTGAAGCTGAAACTCCAATACTTTGGCTAGCTGATGCAAAGAGCTGACTCGTTTGAAAAGACCCTGATTCTGGGGAAGATTGAGGGCAGGAGGAGAAGGGGACGACAGAGGATGAGATGGTTAGATGGCATCACTGACTCAGTGGACACAGGTTTGGGTGGACTCCAGGAGTTGGTGATGGACAGGGAGGCCTGGCGTGCTGTGGTTCATGGGGTCGCAAGAGTTGGACACGACTAAGCGACTGAACTGTTATTTCTTTCATATATTTTGGATATCAACCCCTATTAGATAAGACTTGTAGATATTTTCTCCTATCCAATAGCTTACCAATTTATTTTGTTGATGGTTTCCAGTGTAGAAACAGTAATTTGATGTAGTCCCCCAACTTGTATGTTTTTGCTCTCATTGCCTTTGCTTTTGGTTTCAGATTTACAAAATCATTGTCATGTGATGTCAAGAGGCTTACTACCAACGTTTTCTTTTGGGAATTCTGCAGTTTCAGGTCTTAACATTCTTTAATCCATTCTGAGTTAGTTTTTGGGTATGGTGTAAAGTGTTTCCCAACACCACTTATTGAAGAGACTGTCCTTTCCTCATTGTGTTTTTTGGCTCCTTTGTCATAAATTGACAGTATATATGCTGGTCTACTTCTGGGCTCTCTCCTGGTGATCAAAGTGTCTGTTTTTATGTTAGTTCCATACTGTTTTGATCACTGTAGCTTTGTAATATAGTTTGAAGTTGGAGAGCATGATGCCTCCAGCTTTGATCTCTCTCAAGGTTGCTTTGGTTGTTCAAGGTCTTTTATGATTCCACAAAGATCTTAGGATTGTTTCTCCTATTTCTATGAAAAATGCCATTGGAATTTTGATAGGAATTGCACTGCATCTGTACATTGGTTTGGGCAGTATGGATATTTTAACATTAATTCTTCTAATCCATGGGCACAGATTTTCTTTCCATTTATTTGTCTTCTTTGATTTCTTTCACTAATACCTTAGAGGTTTCAGTGTACAGGTCTTTCACCTCCATGGTTAAATTTATCCCTAGATACTTCCTGTTTCTTTTTTTTTTATGCAGTCATGAATCATATATTGTATATGAGATTGTTTTCTTAATTTCTTTCTGATAATTCACTATTAGTCTATAGAAACAATACATTGATTTTGGTGCATTGATTTTGCATTCTGTAACTTTACTGAACTTATCAGTACTGAATTCATTTATTCTAACAGTTTTTTTGTGGAGTTAAAGGTTGTCTATATATAATATCATTTATCTGCAAATAGTTTATATTCCTTTTCAGTATGAATGCCTTTTTTTCTTGCCTAATTGCTCTGGCTAGAACTTCTAATACTTATGTGGAATAAACGTGGTGAGAGTGGGCACCCTTGTCCTGGTCTTTTTTCTGGCTGTGTTGCGCGACTTGCAGGATCTTGGTTCTCTAACCAGGGATTGGACACCCACCCTGGCAGTGAAAGCATTGAGTCCTAACCACTGGACCTCCAGAGAATTTGCTTTTATGTATATGAGTGTGTGTCTTGTCTTGATCTTTTATCTTTTCACCATTATGATGTTAGCTATGGGCCTGTCACATGTGACTTTATGTTGAGGTATATTCCCTCTATACCATACCTTTTGTTGAGAGGTTTAATCATAATCATGTTGAATTTTGTCACATATTTTTCAATATCTGCTGAGATGATCTTTCGGGTTTTATCCTTCATTTCATTAATCTGGTGAATCATTGATTTACAGATGTTGAACCATCCTTGTGTCCCTGGAATAAATCCAACTTGATAATGATGTATGATCCTCTTAGTGCATTGTTGAATTTTGTTTCTAATATTTTTTGTTGAGGATTTTTGCACTTAGGTTCCTTAGGGATATTGGCCTGTAATTTTCTTGTGGCAGTCTCATCTGGTTTTCATGTCAAGGTAATTCTGGCTTTGTAAAAAAAAAACAAAAAACAAACAATAAACAATTTTGAAGTGTTTCTTCCTCTAGTTTTTGGAAAAGTTTGAGAACTAATATTATTATTTCTTCTTTGAATGTTTGGTAGTATTCATCAGTGAGGACACCTGGTCTCACTTTCACTGAAAAGTTTTTGATTATTGATTCAATTTCTTTACTAGTAAACAGTTCAGATTTTCTTCGATTTAGCGGTGATAGGTTGTATGTGTTTAGGAATTTGTCTTCTAGGTTGTCAAATTTGTTAATTTGTTGGCATATAATTGTTCACAGTAGTCTCTTTTGAGCCTTTGTATTTCTGTGGCATCAGTTGTAATAGCTCCTCCTTCATTTGATTTCCTGTCCTCCGTTTTTTTTCTTGGTGAGTTTAGCTAAAGTTTAATCCATTTTATCTTTTCAAAAGAGCCAGTTCTTAGTTTTATTGATCTTTCCCATTTTCTTTCTGTGTGCATGCTAAGTTGGCTTCAGTTGTGTCCAACTCTTTGTGACCCTATGGACCATATCCCGCCAGGCTCTGTCTGTCCATGGGATTTTCCTGGCAAGAACACTGGAGTGGGTTGCCATGCTCTCCTCCAGGGGATCTTCCTGACCCAGGGAAAACCAGCGTCTCTTACATCTCCTGTGTTGGCAGGCAAGTTCTTTACCACTAGTGCCACATTAATGTGATATTTCCACTCTGACCTGGTGGCTCAGATGGTAAAGCATCTGCCTACAATGCTTGAGACCCGGGTTCAAACCCTGGGTCAGGAAGATCTCCTGGAGAAGGAAATGGCACCCCACTCCAGTATTTTTGCCTGGAGAATCCCATGGACGGAGGAGCCTGGTAGGCTACAGTCCATGGGGTCACAAAGAGTCGGACACGACTGAGCGACTTCACTTTCACTTTCTACTAACTTTAGGTTTCATTCGTTCTAGTTCCTTGAAATTTAGTGTTTGAGTTTTTTGTTTCTTGATTTAGGTGTTTATTATTATGAATTTTCCTTTTAAAACTGCTCTTGCTGCATCCTGCAAATTGTTGTATGTTGTATTTTCATTCTCCTCAAAGTTATCTTTTATTTTCTTTGAACTCATAGTTTTTCAGCAGTATGCTATTTAATTTCCATATGTTTTTGGATTTTCCCATTTTCTTGTAATCTTTAGTTTCACACCCTTGTGCTTGGCAAAAATGCTTGATATGATTTCCATCTTCGTACATTTGAGAAGGTTGTGGCCTAATGTGTTATTTGTTCTGGAGAATGTTCCACATGCCTTAAGAACCGTGTATTCTGTTTTTGGGTGGAATGCCCTGTATGGATCTCTAAGTCCATCTGATTGAATATGTTTAAGGCCAATGTTTTTCCTCATTGATTCTGTCTGGATGATCTAGCCACTGATGTAAGTGTGAGTTGTTAAAGTTCCCTACTGTTATTATATTGCTGTTTAGTCTCTTTAGGTCTGTTAATATTTGCTTTGTATATTTAGGTGCTATTTGGGTGAGTAAACACTTACAAATCTCTTTTCCCTATAAGGTCTCGCGCATCTTCTATTGGGTTTATTCCTATTTTAAGAGTTGTGATGTTAGTATAAGTTGTATATTTTGGGGATGTTTTCTAGTGCCTGTGTGCATGCTCAGTTGCTGCAGTTGTGTCTGACTCTGCGACCTTATGGACTGTAGCCCACCAGGCTCCTGAGTCCATGCAGTTCACTGTATATCGGGACATGTGTAGTTTTTTGACTGTACAGTTAACTGCCTTGATTTTCTTAGTAATCTCTTAAATTAGCTAGTATCTGCAGTATAACAATGAAAGACAAAGTGATGGTGGGGTCCTTACCTTGTTTTATTTTAAAGGAACTTGTTTGAATATTTCATCGTTAAGTATAATGTTTGCTTAGGATTTTAGAAAGTAACCTTTATCAGATGAAGGAAGTTTCTGATTTCTACGTATTTTAAGAACTGGTGTTTTAATTTTTTTTTAAACTGGTCTTTCTGAGTACTGAAGTGATTATGTGATGTTCCTTCAATCTGTTAATTTATTTATTCAGGAGAGGCTAGGCCATGTTGTGAAAATTTATAAACCCTAAAATTTCAGCAGCTTAATTATTAGCACAAGTTCATTTTTCGATTCATGTAAAGCCCAGTATAGAACAGTGGAAGTGGTTCCTGACTGGCTTGCCTCCAATCAGGGTCCTGCCATCTCCACACTGGGAATCTTGAAGTATGCCATGGCAGAGAAAGTACACGTGGAGAAGGCATACCTGGTCTTACTTCCCCAGGAAGGAAAGGTGTCCCAGGTGGGAATGCCCAGACAAGACGAGTTTCCGATCACTCCATGCATTTGAGAGGAGCCCAACGGGAGTATGGATTTTAACATACTGCTGGTTTGGGTCGCTAAGATTACCTGTAACTCTCCAGTCCTCGTCTGGATTTGACGTCCAGGTTGTATTCTACTCATACCAGGTGGTTTCCCCTTCTGTTCTCAAGGGCGTCTGCTTAAGATTGAAGCTGCCTGTTCAGTATAAAGTAGCTGTTAAGCCTGTCTGGACCTGATGTTTGTGAGTGTATTTCCAACTCAATTTAATTTCTTTAATGTCGAGTACCTCTCTCTTCTTTGTAGTGCTTCTCTGGGTCGTAGTATTTTACTTGCATGATTTTCAAACTGAGAGCACCTGTGAGGTAAAGCTGACCGCAGTGCTTGGCAGGCGATGCCGGCTAAGGAGCAACATGTGTTCCAGGAGTAACCTGCTGAGCACGCACAGACCTCGGCAGCTGGAGCTGTCCGTGCTGCCACTTCCAGGTGGAGAAACTGCGGAGGCTGAGAAGGGACCGCGGCGTGGGGACAGAAGGCCCCTCACGGTGATCAAAGAACGACAGCTAGGATGGTCGCTTTGACACACGCGGCATGCGGTGCACACACAGGCGGCCGCGGCTTTCATCCGTGTTTATTTCCTTTCATATAAAAGTTACAGGTTTGAAATGTCTGCAGGAAGATGCCACGATCAGCCGGTTAGTCTAGTCGGGGATATATTACAATGTAATAACACTGGGAGGTGGGGGGGGGAGGCGCTGCTCAGAATCGGGGTTTAATTCGGACCTGGCGCATGCCTGCCTTCACCCTGACCCACCCACAGGTGTGGAGGGGCCCCGCAGGGAACCGAGTGCTCCTGAGCGTGTCTTCGTCACACAGGCTGCCTCGTACACCTGACTTGGCCCCTAAGCCAGACAAACCACACAGCCAGGCTGGCAGCGCCCAGAGCCAGGGGTGGGTCTCCAGGAGGTGGAGGTGGGGAACCCTGAGCCCAATAAGTTAAAACGCACACTGCACCTGCTGTCCTCACACGGGGTCACCTGGCTTCGCCAGCCCCTGGCCCACACAGCAGCGTCAGCAGAGCCGGCCAGGCCAGGAAGGAGGTGGGAGGAAGGCTGAAATGAGAGGACTCGAAAAAGCGGGAACAAAATAAAACCCAACCCCACACACAGTACTGTTCATAAACAGCGACTCTACACACACACTCCTTAAATAATAAAGTGACGCGTTCCGCCCAAGGATCGCTGCTGAGGGGTCGTGGCTGACATTTCAGACTCCTCCCCTCTGGACAGATGGCTGCTTGATAAAAACCGTTCAGAAACCCACAAAGGACTCGGAGTGACAGGGCTGTTTCTTTAAATAGTTAACAAGAGATTGCTTCCACTCTTTTCATTCTGCTGAAACTGGGCTAAGCCTGCTTTTTGCCGGCCTGAGTCCCAAACCCGGGAGCGGCGGGCACTCAGTGATGTGAAACCAATCAGAAGGGGGGCGGTGCCCGCACACCTAGGCCTGGCTGGCACGGAGTCTGGTGGGTGCCTCTGTGAGCCCCCACTGGCCTCGCCTCGGATTGTCAGCCTCAGTAGTGAGAGTGGCTTAGGGGGAAGTGCAGGGTGAAAGCACCTTCCCCTGAAGATGCCAGGCCTCGCGGGCGGGGCTTCACAGCTGGGACCCTGTCCTCCCACGGGAGAGCCGGCCACGTGGCAGAAAGGGCTGAAGAGCAGCCCATCTGGCCCCAGCAGGCTGGGGACAAGGCGGGAGGGGAGCCCGCAGGAGCTGGAGTTTAAGGCACACGGCAAGCGACAGAGGTGGGGCCGCTGGCCCACCCTCCGCTCACTGAAGGGACTCACCAAGAGTGCTGGCCCCACTTAGCTGGAGTCTTCCTTGGGTGGTCACGGCCTGCCTGCCCCGCTCCTGGGTGCCCGGGTTGGGGGGTGAGGGCAGGGGGAGATGAAGGGGTGAAACAGGACTGACACGGTGGCTGCCTGGGCCTGGCCAGGGCGGGCCGGTACCATGAGCGGAGCCCTAGCTCCGGGCTGCAGAGGGGCCCCCTGTCGTACCTTTCCGGGCCAGGTGAGCAGCGCCCCCATCCTCCGTTGAAAAAGCAGCGTGTGGGAAGTGAGAGGAGTCTGCCCGGTCTCCCTGCCCGCCCGCCTGCAGGCCCGGTCATCCACGGTCACCGGGTGGGCAGCCCCAGCCCGCGGGCCCCTGCCCCTGTGTCAAGACAGCAGACTCAGATGGTACCCTGCCTCTCCGTCCCTCGGTCTGCTGACCACGTGCTCTGAGGTTCCCAGGCTTGGGGAGGGGACACAGGCAGAGTGGAAGACGGCGTGGAAGCAGAACCCCAACCAAACCCAGACCGCTGGGTCACAGCTCAGCCGCGAGAGCTGCCTGTGGCTCCGCCGCGGCCGTGGGCTCCGGATGCCCGCCCGGCACGGCAGGGGCCTGCCCGGGCTGGGGCTCCTCAGCCGGGACACGGGCCGCCGCCACCGCACAGGTCCACAGTCCCTTCAGCCTCGGAGCGGCCCTGCGCCTCTCTCGGGCATTCTCCTCGCCCGCGGCAGCCGCCCCTAGGTCTTCTCTTCTCTGTCTGTCTTCCTCCTGGTTATGTTCCTGGGTTTGATTTTCAGAGAGAGTTCCCATAGGGCCTCCTCAGCCAGGTGGTCACTGAAGTCGTTGAAGAAGTTAATGATGTCGTCATTTCTCCGGATGTCGTAGTGCCTGAGGGAGGAGGGGGCGGCCATGAGGGCCACACAGCCCCGGGATCACCCACCACCCCAGCGAACTCACGGGGCAGGGGTACCCCTGCTGGTCCTCAGAGCTAGGGGCTCCCCTCTGCTCAGGCCCCAGGGAGACCCCCCCCAGCCCTGAGTCAGAAGGGCCAGGCTCCAGCAGCCCCCCAGACGGGACCCCCGGGATGGCCACTCACACTTGCTGGAAGCACCGCATGCTGTCCAGGATGTTGAACTGCTGCCAGCGTTTGGAGAAGTTCACCTTCCCGTCGATATAGTCTGGGTTCCCCAGGTGGACGAAGGTGAGGTCCTGCAGGATGAGCCCCCTGGGAGATGGGCACGCCGGTGAGCACCCCGGGGGCGGCTCAGAAGGCAGCGGGTTTCCGGGCTGCCGCCCCACGAGCGTGTCTGGGTGCTGGTGCTGCTTCTGGCGGGAACACCTGACTCCCAGGCTCTGGGGCTCCGGGAAGGCGGGCTCAGGCCTGCCTGCTACGTAGTGAGCCCCGCAACCCCTGTGCTGGTCTGGCAGAGCCCCGGTCCACCGGGCACAAGTAAGAGGGACGGGAGAACAGAACCCCGAACTCAGTGGTGGTGGCGGTCAATCCCCCGGGTTATCGGTGCGGTCACGTGCTCTCACACAGAGCCCGTGAAGCCGCCTGACGAGGGGCGGGGCGGCTCTCCTCCTGGGGAAGGCGCAGCCCGCAGCTCCCACCGAGCCAGGGACGAAAGGGACGTCAGGGTGAGATGGAGGCAAGCAGGGGCTGTGAGCTCTAAGAGCTGCGTTTCTGAGGCTGGAGACCTGAGGGACGTGCCCCTGGACAGTTGGCCCCGGGTCACTGCGCAGTCTCCTGTCCCTCTCTTGGAAGTCCTCACTGTCCGCTCCCCTACTAAAGGATCTGACATGCACAAGAAACCCATTTAGCTCTGATTTTTCCTGCTGTTTCCCAAGCATACGTGCCATGGATTCTTTTTGGTGAAAATGCCTACCCTCGTCCCAGCCCACAGGGGGACCCATCAAGAGCTGCCTTGGTCAGGCACTCCCAGGGTCCATGGGGAGACTGGAGGGACCTCGGGCTGCTGTGAGGTGCGGCCAGGCCCGGGGCAGCTGAACAGAGCATGGTGCCACACGCCTGTCCACACGTGCGCCCGCACACGCTCAGGGACGGGGAGGTGGGGAGACCGAGCCCTTGTCGCTGGACCCTTGCTCGTCTCCACCATCTAACAAGGAGCACGTTTTAAGTTAAATACAAGCAGAGCATCCAGGTTGGAAACCTCTCCCTGCGGGTTTGTGTGCGGGGCAGCGAGCGAGGGGACCCTGGGGGAGGCTGTACTCACAGGTAAGGGATGCAGGGTGGCTCCACCTCCGAGAGGGCGGCCCGGTAGGCACGGAAGGAGGACGAGCTGTCGATAAGCGTGCAGTACTCAGCCAGGCCCTGTCAGGAGGACATGCCGTCCATGAGTGTGGCAACAACACCGAGTGCCAACTCAGAGCCAGGCCCCCCTGCCCCGGCTGCAGGCAGGCCAGGCCTGCTGTAGACACGGCCGCGGGACCGCTTGGGCTGCTGCTTGGCTGTGCTCAGCGCCGCAGGCCGGGCCGTGCTGCTGCCCCCCAACACGCAAGGCAGAGCCCAGCGGGGAGGGCGGTGACCCCGCTGCTCTGCACGCTGGGTGGGCTGTGCCCTGTCACCTGTCTCTCACCTTGATGTGTCACCTCCTCCAGGAAGCCTTCCCTGCCTTCTCAGGCCCTCTCATGTGTTCCTGGAGCAGCTGGGGGGATGTCCCACTTCTCTAGACACCACTGTCTCATAACTGTCCCTTTATATTGCTGGGAGACGACTCCCAGGGAGCCCGGCTAACACCCAGCCCCGTGGGCCTTGCCTCACTTCCCCAGAAGCAGCTCCACGCCAGGGTAAAGGTGCCCCAGGACTCCTGTGATGTGGCCACCCTGGCCTCTGTCCTGTGCCTTGTCCCCTCTGAGGGGACTTCCCCTGCCTTCCCAGGACGCTCCTACTCAGGTCTCAGGGTGATCAGCACCACCTCGGTGCTGATCCCAGGCTGGGCCGGACCACTCGGTCACATGTTTGCTCAGCACCCCCTCCTTCTCCCTGAAGCGCTCCACCTGACAGCAAGTCTGGCCTGGTCATGGGACACCCGTGCCTCACGCAGCCCACCTGCAGCAGCCCCTGGGGAAGCTGGGCCTGGACACAGCACTGCCTCCCGCGCCCCAGGGCCTGAGACCAGCAGCGCCCGCCCACCTCTGAGGTCTGCTTCTGCCACTCCAGCCTGCGGATGGGGGCTGAGTCCAGCGCCGAGAGGATGGCCAGGTAGGAGTTGAAGTTGTTCAGCTTCCGTAAGTGCTGCGGGGAAGGGGGGAGGCGATCGTGAGGGTGGGCAGGGACAGGTCAGGGGTCGCCGCTGGGGAGGGGGCCCCAAGTTACCTTCATGATCTTGATGAACTTCAAGAGCAGCCGTTCCCTGTCTTGGGCCTTTTCCTGCAACATGATTATCGACCGGACCCTGCGCAGACCGAGGGGAGAAGGACGGCCGAGTGACTCATCTCCGGGCCTCTGGCTGGTCCTGGCGGCCGTGGGAGGTGGGCGCCTGCACCCGCTGGCCATGAGCCCCTGCCCACCAGGGGGCCAGTGCTGAACTCCAGGATGGGGACCTCTAACTGCACGGATGGGGGCGTTCCTGGTGAGCACTGACCCTGAGCACCAGGGTGGCTGGAAACACCCTGTGACTGGCCTCAGGATCAGCTCGGGAGGTGAGGGGGCATGTGGGTTAAGAGGCCACCTCCCAGAACCTTAGCCGCAACCCGAGGCCAGGCTCGCACAAGGACCTCATGGTGGCCTTGACCCTGTGCTGCCCAGAGGAAGTGCCCCTCATCTGGCCCTGAAGGGCCCCAGCCACCCTCTTAGGCAGGACCCAGGGGTGTGTCTGTAGCCCCAGTGCCCAGCAAGGGGCAGCTGGTGGCGGCGCTCAGGGATGCGTGGACTGGAAACCACCTGGGTCTCTGTGGGGCAGCTACACCAAGCACGTGCTGAGGAGCGGAGGCTTCTGGGGGAGCGGAGGGGAGCAGGCCAAGGGGAGGCCCCGCTTTCCCCAGCACGCTGTCTTCAGAGCGCTTGAAAAGTCCCAGATACTCCCTGGTGCTGGCGATGGACTGTGTGTGGGTCAGGACGAGCCTGCCTGGCCGCCACGCCCTGACCGTCTTCTATTGGAGCCGAGAGGCTGTGGGCACCCTGAGGCCCACTGTGGGGCCAGCGGCTCTGCTGTGGTACATCGCAGACGCTCTGTGCGGCTTCACCCTGCTCTCAGAGGTTAAGGCTAAATAAAGTACTGACAGAGCCACCACTTCGCTATTCTTCAGGCAGAGTCAATGTGCGGATCAGCTCTGGGGCCAGGGGGCCATGAGCAGGGCAGGATGACAAAGCTGAGACCCTCTGCCGCCATCGGCGGCAGACATTACTAATCAGTCCCGGCTGAGTCCTCCTCAGCCGGTCCCCAGGGGGCCCTTCTCAACGTGCAGAACATGCTCTGTCCTGCCCTGCCTCTGGGGCACAGTGAACGCCCACGAGGCTCCAGAAGGAGCGGGGAGGGACGAAGGGGCACCCCCTTCCCCGGCCAAGGGCGCGCTGTGCACCACGGGGCCCGCAGGAGGGTCCACGCCGAGGCCCGTCTCACCAGTAGGACATGTTGTTGAAGTGCTCCGTGAACTGGGTCAGGTTCGGGCTCTTCTCCTCGTTCTGCTCTTTGGCCCAAAGCAAAACCTCAGGAATCTGAAAAAGCAGGGGAACCAACTAGAACCTGGGCCCTCCGGCTCTGCTGGGAGCAGCAGCTCCTCTCACTCAGGGCCAAGCAGCGGCGCTCACCCGGGCCAGGGATGGGCCCCCCAGCCCCACGCATGGCCGTACCTCTATTTTATAAAAGAGCTCGGCATCTAGCAGAGTCAGCTGCTCGGCTATTTCATGGCTGTGGAAGTCATGCAAGGTCCCGGGCCTGGAAGACAGAGGCGCTAGATGAGCGGTCGGTGGACGGTACGGTGGAGGCCCCCTTGCAGGCCTCAGAGCTGAGGGAACATGACCTGCTTCACAGCCACACAAAGACCGAGGTGCCAATGAGGAGGTGATACACCAACAGACTCCCACGGCTGTGGGAGAGGGGCGGGTAGCAGACTGGAACCTGTACACAGATTCTCAGAACGGTCGGGGTGGCATGGGGGCATTTGAGAATTACTGGTAACAGTTGCTATATTAGCACCAGAAAGAACTTGGCGCTGATCACAGCCTGAAAGGCACTCCTGCCCCGTGTCCTGGGATGCCCACACATGCCCTGCCACCCCACTTCCTGTTAAAATGGGATGGCCCACCCATCACCACCCTGGAAGACAGGCCTAGCCTGGGGCACCCCCGTGGCCGGCCGAGGCATCCCGTCGCAGGCCCGCTCAGAACCAGCCGTGGGGCCATGGGGCTGGGGAGGGGGTGCGCTGAGTGAAATGGGAGCGGCAGCTGCTGGCACCTCTCTGCAGAGGGGGCCAGGAGCAGCTGGGCGCACGGCGGGGGCTCACCTGGCTGCCACGCCCCGGGCCGCCAGGGGCTGGTCGGAGTTGGCACACCGGAGCAGCTTCTTCTGATCGACCTTGTCCAGAATGTTCTTGCGGAGCACGCGTGCCAGACTGAGTTCCCCGCTGCGCACCAGGCGGAAGACCAGCTCCATCAGCAGCTTCAGGATCTCTTCTGTCAGCTCCACCAGGCTAGAGGCCCAAGAGCCATGCGGGGCGGCGCAGGAGGCAAGCAGAAGGGCTGCTGGCACCAGTCCTGAAACCCCCAAGACCCTGAGGGCCACGGGACACCCTGCAGCAGAGCTGGAAAACCGCTGGTGGGAAGGGAGCGGCAGAGCCCCCATGGTGGCAGGTAACTGCCGTCCTCTCGGGGGATGCTCAGAGGCACGGGACGAGTACCAGGGGCCATGCTGGGCCTGGGCTTGGAGACAAATCCTGCCCCAGAGGAGCTCCGGGCCCCATGGGGTGAAGGATCAGGAAGTCGTCCGGGCTCTGCAGACCAGACCCCCCAGGACCCCTCTGCACTTCCTCCACACACAGTGAGTCCCAGCCCCACCCTGTGGTCACTGAGGCCACCTCCGAGGGCAGGGACGGGGGCGGGGGGGCTCTGGATGCAGGAAAGGGACCTTGTGCTGTGTGTGTGTTAAGTGAAGGGAAATGGCCAAGTGCCATGCAGCGGAGCAGGGACAGCTGCGGAGGGCAGTAGATCCCCCCAGACGCTGGTGGCCGAGGGCACGGCCCCCATGAGGAAGTCAGGGCCGACTGGGTCTGAGGGGCCAGGTCATCCTCCCGGGGCTGAAGCTGGCAGGAGTGAACCATCCAGGACCCCGGGCAGGGCGGTGGGCAGGTGACCCAGGAGATGCAGGTGGAAATGTGACGGGAGGCTCAGGTCTCTGAGGCTCAGGTCTCTGGGGAAGCCTGCACCCCAACACCCACAGCCTGCCCTCCTGTGGGCGGAAGGACTCACCAGAGCTCGTCTACCACCCGCACCAGCACGAAAAACGTGTTCTTGCTCACACGCTTCTTGAATGTGTCGGCGAAAGGAGAGAACTTCTCATACGTGGAACCCGAGTTAAAGAAACAGCTATCCTCGAGGGCAGGGGTAGGGATGTGGGGGGAGGGCTGCCCTCCTCCGGACCCCTTCCGGAGCAAACTCTGGGAACATGGGGAGGGCGGAGGCCTGTGCGGGGTGGGGTCAGCCCGCACCTGTCTGACCCTGAGGAGCGCTCTCGACCACCAGCCTCTCCTGCCTGCATGCCTGGGTGGACCCGAGGTCCCCGAGACACTGACCCACGGCTGCCTCCCGGGCTCAGGCAGAGGGAAGCAGCTCTGTGGGGGCGGTGCACAGCCCGGCGGGGCAGGTCGCCCTCCACCCTCGTCATCCATCCCCAGGTTTTCCCTAGCTCTGGAGACCCACCGCCCTGGGGCATCATGGCTTCTGGCTGCCCTCCTGAGTTCGCCGTCTCCGGACCCTTCTCGGCTCCCTCCCACCTGCTTTCTAGAAATACACTCAGGAGGGAGTAACATCCAGGGCCCGTGCCGGGGCCTGCTGCAGTGAGGGCTTGCCAGCCAGCTGTGCTAGGGGCTTGGTGCTGTGACTTGTCCGCTGAGACGCCTGAAGCGGCCATGCAGGGTAGGTGCTGAGAAGCTGGGTCTGGGAGGCCTGGGTGTGGGCGCGTTCCCTCCACACTGCCGCATGGGTCTCACGACCCTCTCTGAATCTCACTTTCCGTAATTACACATGGTATGGAACAGTATCAGGACACCGCCTTACAGACAGTGACATTAAGTACATAAAACGGTATCAGAGCCGAGTGAGGTCACCCGTGCATCGCTCTGCTCCGTAAGCGACACCAGGAGGTTCTCAGCAAGTGTGAGTCACTGTCACTCACTGAGCCAGGGCTGTGGCCACAGCAGGTGTGAGGCTGGAGGGCATGAAGTCTGTGCGTGGGCCGTCCTGTTCTGAGGGACCGGGCCCGGAGGCAGATCAGGGGAGAGAGGAGGGCCAGAGACAGGGGAGGCAGAGGCCAGGTGGGGGGCGTCTGGGCACTGGGGAGGGAGGGGAGAGCTGAAGGACTCAGGACTGCCCGCCCTGGGCTGGGCTGTCCAGCAGGTGGCAGCCACGGGCTGTGACGCAGGACGAGGCCAGGAGGGGACCCACTCCTGGGACAGGAGCTGAAGGTCAGCCTCAGCAGGAGGGGCAAGACTGCATTGAGAAAGAGGCAACCGAGCGGGTCCCTGCCAGCCTTAGGTCTTTCTTGGCCACTGCCGGTAGGCGTCGTATCTAAAGGGCGAGCCTGTGAGGCGGGTGCTAACTGCGGCGTGGACGCTGAGCTTCTGTCCACTGCTGGGCCTGCTGGCAGGTGGCAGGGCCAGGCCTGCCTGGGGTTGTTCACTGATGCCCTCACGTCCCATGCACCCTGCACCTGTCACCCCTGGCACCCGGGGCTCAGCTCCCAGAGGCCGCACGGGCCAGTGACCTGGGTCCCCCGGGGCCCACACGCTCCCTCTTAGGGTGCATTGTGCTCAGTCGTGTCCGACTCCGCAACCCCATGGACTGTAGCCTGCCAGGGTCCTCTGTCCATGGGATTCTCCAGGCAAGAACACTGGAGTGGGTTGCCATCCCCTTCTCCAGGGGAGCTCCCAGACCCAGGGGTGGAGCCCCCATCTCCTGCACTGCAGGTGGGCTCTTTACTGCTGGCTCCACCTGGGAGGCCCTCAGGGTGTATCAGGTCCTTCTGTCTCAGAATCGCCCAGTGATCACAACAGCCACCAGGCAGCACCCTCTGTTCAGGCACATCACGCAACGTCACTCGGCCCCCTCAAGACAGGGATGAGGCGCAGAGGAGCCTGGCCGGAGGCCCCAAGCCGGGACATGCAGAGCTGGCCTGAGCACTGCCCCCCAGCCCTCAGAGGGCTCTGTGAAGGAGGGAGGGGCGGGCAAGGATATCTGTACTGCAGCTTCTTGATGAGCTCCTCGGGCGTGATGAAGGTCCTGTAGGTGGTCAGGAAGGCCTCGCAGTACAACACCAGATCTGGAGGGAGGGACAAGGAATGGATCAGCCCACCCACTGCTGGTGCGGGCACCGGCGGGCAGCGCGCCTGCGGCAGGACGTGCTCCCTGCTCTGACCAGACACTGAGGGCCTCTTGTTTGCCCAAAGACTTGCTGATTCGGGTCTTAACCACCACGGGCAGAGAGAACACAATTCAGAGCCGTCAGCAGGGCTCTGCAGCTAAGTGACAGGTAACACTGGGGGCGGCAGCGCCCAGGAGCAACCGCCGTGGGAGTCTCCACACAGTGAGGCTGAGGAAAAGGCCTGGGGCTCCTCCTGGCACGCTGCTGGACACTCCCGGCTGCAGGCTCTGGTGCTGGGGGGGGGGGGGGGGGGGGGGGGGGGCCGGGGGGAGGAGCCTGGCCCGGTGGCCGGGTGGGACTCAGGCTGCCACTCCCACCCAACACCTCTCCTTCCCTTTGTAGGGGCTGGTTCTCGCAGAGGATTCCCAACCTTTCCAGATTCACAACAGCCAGTTTATTTAAGCTGTGACACACCCTCCTAACCAGGCAGTCTCCAATACTGAGGGAAAAATCAGGGAGTTTTAAATGCAGGTCCCTCCTGGAGACCAAGGACCTGGTCAAGCTGGTGAACTTCAGGTTAGCCTGTGCTGGAGCTAACATTTGAGTCTGGATTTGGCTCCCAAGACTGTGGTCCTCCCCATGAGGCTATGGCCTTCCCTGTGAGGCTGACCTGCGGTCCTTCCCGTGAGGCTGAGCATGCACTTGCTGGACACAGACCACCGTCCGCTGTCTTCTCTCATCCCACCCCTGACTCACTGGGGGGAGGCCTCAAGGACCCCTTCTCCAGCTGAGCAGCCCACCTGGTTGAGCCCTGGCTCCTGTCCTCTGCCCTCCCTGATCATCCCCAGGACAATGAGGGGAGAAGCCTCCCCCGCACCCCCGTGTCTGAGCCGGCTGAGGTGGGGGGGCCTGGCCAGCGGAGCGGTGACCTGAGGAGGGCTCAGGGCGGGGGCACTGGGCTCCGGCTCCCTCCTGGACTCAAGCACCACCCCCCCTCCTCCAACACCACCCCACTGCTGTCGAGACTGGGCTTCTGTTCAAAGAGCAATGAGGAAGCAGAGATGGGTCCAGCACCAGCCAAGGCCTGCTTCCGGAAGAAGGGGTCTGGGGCTGCAACCTGAGCCCGGGGCCTCCAGCCAGTGGGTGGTCTCTGGGTTGCAGGCGGCCCCTGCCCAAGGAGTTTGCTATGGCCCAGGGCCTTTAACTCAGCGTCCATCCTGGGGACAAATGACTGGAGCCTCAAAACCCCTCCATGGAGAAAAGCGAGTGGAAGCCCCCGGGGGCAGCAGGGCCGCCTTCCCAGGCAGTCGGCACCAGCTGGAAGGTCTCGGGCCGCTCTGCCCGCTGGGCTCCCTCTGGCCTGGGCCGCAGCCCACGGCACCCAGCAGGTCAGCGGCTCCCTGCTCACCGCTGAGGACGGGAGCTGCCCCCATTCAGCCTCTCACTCCCAGACACAGACAGGGTGAGGGCGGAGCTCCTGCCAGTGCAGCAGGCGCGGGGGAGGGGGCACTGCAGGGGGCAGAGCAGGGGCTGTCCCGGGGTTGCAAACAGAGACTCCTCGAGCACTTCCTATGTGCCAGGCGTGTTTCATCTCAGCTCACGCAACCTTCACACCCACAGGGCACCTAACCCCTTCACAAAGCTGAGTCTGCTGAGGCTGGGTAGAGGTTAGCGGCCGCCCAGCCAGGGTTAAACCCAGGGTCTCCAGGACCGTGCTGTGCTCGGGTCAGAAGAAGCCTGGAGGGCAACAGCGTGGCTGCGGAGAGTCTGGGAGCTATTTCTTCTTTTTCTCTATTTTTCAAATTTTCAGCAATGCAAACAATTACTCTGGTACTGATTTCCTAATTTAAAATTTTCCATCTGGGCGACATATTTGGGGAAGCCTGCTGTCAAGATGCAAGGACCAGGTCAAGTACAAACATGAAATTGGGGTATTAGGGTTTCAAGACTGAGGTGTTTCAATTCCTCCATTCCTTACTTTAACACTGCTGTTCCATCATCTTTCTGACAATTTAAAAAATGTAAAAAGAAAAAAAAGTGTAAAGAGGAAATGGACGTGGCGGGAGGCGGGCCCAGCTGTGGGCATGTGTGTGGCCCCTCCTGCCTGACCAAGGTCATGGGCGCTGGCCTCACAGGCCCCCCCCCCCCCACAACACCACCTGGAAAGACCGCGCCTTCGCCAGCAGACAGACAGGCCCTCCTTCTCCGCCCTCCCGAAGGACCGGGCCAGGAACGGGGTGTCTCCGTGCTGAGGGCGGGGAGCCCCACTCGGTGTCAGTACCGCTGCTATGGGACTGGACAGAGTGTCTGCCCACGAAGCTCCCAGAGGAAGAGAGATGCAGCCCAGTGCAGCCGTCAGGAAACATCAGGAAAAGTAGAATAAACGCTCCCTGTACATCAACACGACTTCACTGCCGCGTCAGGCTGTTAACTCGGACACTGTCCTTGCAGTGCCCGCAGGTGCTGAGCTCTGCCCCGGAAACTTGCCCCCCGACGAGGCTGGGGCCCCACTACCTGCACACAGTGGACCCACTCAGAGAGGCAGCCGGGGTGTCCAGGTGCTGGCTTTGAGTGCGGGCCACCCGTCCCCCAGCGGCGCCCCCTACAGTGAGCCAGCAGCACCGGGACGGCAGCTCCGACCCGCTCAGTGCTGGAGTGGAGGGCACCAGGGCCAAGCGTGTCCGGGCAGGATGGGGGGCTCCCCCCTGCCCCCACCGTCGGCGAGCTCTGCGCAGGGGCAGCCGTACCTTTCCTGTCCGTCTCTGTGGCGTGGACGAGGAGGATGTCGCCCGACCCTCCACGGACGTCTGGCCCGTCGTCGCCCTGTGGGAGCACAGCAGAGGAAGGTATGGGGCCGAGCACAGCCCTGAGAGTCGGTTTAGGGGCGAGCCGACAGGCCCCCCAGGTCCTCGTGCACCCCCACGCTCCGGGGGCGGCCCAGCCCGGCTGCAGAGGCTGGGGTGCCCCACAGACTGCAGTGGGCGCCGAGGACACTGCTGGGTCAGGGGCCTGGCCCCGATGGTTCCCCAGCCCACCGGTCAGAGAGGGGAACGGGGGACGGGGAGCCCACGGGGAGGCAGGCAGGACTGGAGGCGGCGGGACGAGGCTGCAGACGGCAGGCTGCTTCAACTGCAGTGAGCTGCCGAACCCACACCTGCTCTCAGGGGGAGGGACACTGCTCATGACACACATTCTTCCCGGGAGCCCTTAGAGGAGTGAGATATGTCACAAAGATGCTCAGTTATAACCAGTGTGGCTTATACTGACCACAGCCTGTCTATTCAGGGAAAAGTCTTGTTTTCCTAGGAGCTAACGGAGGCGTTCACCCATAAACCTGGCCTGGAGCCAAGAAAGAGCTGTCACAGGACCAGGAGGCCCAGGCTGCTCTCTGTAATCCTGGAGGAGTCCGCCCCACGCCAGCCTCCGCGTGTCTCCAGCGCTCGCTCTCAAAGACGCGTCTGCCTCTCTAGGGCAGGCTTTAACCCTGGAACCCAGGGTCCTGGGAGCGTCCTGGATTTCCAGCTAAGGCAGGGCCCAGGACCTGCTTTTTCTGAAGAAATTTCTGGCAAGAGTCACATCATTCTCTCTGCAGAGGAGCCAGCCCCCGCCTTTTGGTTCCTCTGGGCCATGACCGGGCCACGTCTGTGTGTGTAGAACATGGCTACCTCCTTGGGCAGTGGTCAAGGCCATCACTGGGAGCCATTCCCCCGAGTCCCCAGGGTTGCTGGGCAGCAGGGAGTGGAAAGCCGTCTCAGCTCAGCTCCTCGGGCAGTGACGGGTTCGGGCACCGTGTTCACCAGTGAGGCGCTTCTGATAAGACACGGGCTGGAGGCAGCCGTGTGGCCGGGCCTGAAATCCCTTAATTGGCTTGTGCCTCCCACGCAGAGACACATGGATGGTTCTGTCACTAAGAACATAAAAACACCCTGCCCTAAGGAGGCCCAGCACACAGGGCTCCAGGCCGAGCACCCACATGGGCTTCGTGCTCACAACAGCCTCTAGAGTCCCGTCATCCGGGGCTTACGGAGGACAGGCCACTTGCCCAAGCTCACTCTCCAAGTGTGGAAGAAGGGGATAGCACACTTCCTCTGGGCAGTCGCCCGTGTGCCCAGCGTCCTGGAGCACCTGCAGTGGCCCAGGCACGGGGCCAGGACAAGAGGGTGTAGAGCCCACAGCCCAGGGCCACCGGGGTCAGCACTTGGCTGTGGCCTTTCTGTGCGGGTCACTTCCAGGTTCCCTTCTCGACGCCCCCTCACCCTCTCTCTGGGCCAGATGCTGCACGTACGGCCTGTGAGGAACCTACCTCTTGCTTGAGGGTCAGCCTCGCCATGATTTCATTGTGGTCGATGAGGGACAGCTCGTCCACCTCCTCTTCGGACTGAGCCTCTGGAGCGTCTGGCGACTTCAGGGCCCTGGAAAGAGGTGTGATTTGTGTTGGTCAACAGGGCTGGGGCTCCACGTGCCTGGGGCCAAGGCAGCGTGGCCCTGTGTGTGGGGTGTGGGTGGGACCATTGCTCCCCGAGCAAGTCCCCCCTGGATCGCAGCTCCACGGAAGACCAGACCCACTCCGACCCCTCCACAGGAGGCCGGGGGTGGGCAGACGCCGGGACGCAGACTTGGTTTCTGACTCTGCTGCTGATAAGCTGTGTGACCTCAGGATAGTCCCTGCTCTCTGGGTGCTCCATCGGTTAAGTAGAAGGGATTAAGCATGCAGATCAAGAAGGTTCCACTGAGAGGTCTGAAGAAGTAACGGTCTCACTCGTCTGCGTCAAGGCCCACCGCACGGACGGCCAGTACTCCAGGAGAGGACAGCCCAGGGCCGGCGGGATGGGGCACAGGCCAGCATGCATGTCAACTCTACTCCACGTCTTCGCCTGGGGCCACCTCTCCGGAGGACTGAAGGGGAGCAGGAACCAGGCCCTCGTCCTTGGGGTGCTGGTGGGGACAAGGGCCAGGAAGGCCCGAGGGTAGGACGGCAAGCTGAGGCTGAAGTGCTGAGCAGGAGTCTGGGGAGGAGGAGAGAAGCCCCAGAGAAGCACATGGGGAGTTGGGGCGGGGAACACAGCAGGCAGATGGCCGTGGGGTCTGTAGGCACCGTGCTTTCCCCTAGCATTTTCTCTGGTATTCCCGTCATTCTCATGAAGGACCCCATGAGCCACTGACTGGCCTTGTGGTCAGAGGCCTCATTTTTAATACTCAATATCTAAGACATAAAATCTGACCACCTGGAGGGCCAAGCGAAACCACGCGCAGTCCTTTGGCCTTCATGGAAAGAGGACAGCGTCGCAGGGACGGGTTCCAGCCCATCAACATGTTCATCCCTCTGCTTCTCGTACAAGAGCCGCCTGAACTCTGAAAAATGGCATCCCACCCCACCCTCCACTCAGCAGTGAAGCTGCCGAGCTGCTGCTGTTTGGCAAGACACCTCTGCCGCTGGGTGTTAGACTAGGACACCCATCATCCCGCAACACTCGGGGAGACCTGAGCCGCCGCGTCACACAGACGGACCCCGAGGGCACGACTCTGAGGAGCGGCCAGAGCAGGCCGGGTGGGCAGCCCTCGTCAACGGGCCCCTGGGGAAAGCTTTCCATTTTTTTTTCTCGTCTATTGCTATTTTCACTGCACCTTTAACTATTTATGCTTAGGCTTGACAAAAAACAACGGGTATTGCTGAGCTCTGCACCCAGGACTCCAGAAGCAGCCAAACCTTAGCCAAAAGAGGGAGGAAAAACTTGAATGTGCGGAACATCTCACAAAGAAGGGGACGTCAGCATGAAGTCGCAGGTGGCAAAGCTGATTGGCGGGTCCTGCAATTACCCTTTCTACGTGCAAGTTGGAGACTTACTACTTATTTCTACACCTGGTCATGTTTGACACAGGCTAACACTGAGAATGTTACCAAAGATTACAGAGATATATGGCTAAATGCAAACACGAATCCTGATTGACCTGGTTCCAAAAAAATTAGTCTTATGAGATATATGCTGTCTAGGTTTCTCACAGCTTTTCTTCCAAGGAGCAAGTGTCTTTTTAAGTTCGTGGCTGTGGTCATTGTCTGCAGTGATTTTGGAGCCTGGGAAGATAAAATCTGCCACAGATTCTGCTTTTCCGCCTTCTATTTGCCATGAGGTGATGGGACCGGATGCCACAATCTTAGTTTTAATGTTGAGTTTCAAGCCAGCATTTTCACTCTCCTCTTCCACCCTCATCAGGAGGATCTTTGCTTCCTCTTCACTTTCTGTCATTTGCACATCAGAAGGAATTTACTGTTACTCTTCTTGGGTGTGACAGCCATACTGTAATCAGGTTGGCACTTTTGCAGCATGCTGAAATATTTAGGGACTGAGGGTCATGTTCGTAACAGTTTCGAATACACGTGATATACAACATACACACTGCCCCTAGAAACTCACCATAAGCATCTGGGGCGGGAATCTTATACTCCTTCATTACACTTGAACTCGTAAGAGGCGCAGGGGAGGTTGGCTTAGGGTTTGAAGAAGAAAGCACTGTTACGCATAGTTTCTAAGGTGAACAGTACGTGTGCAGATACTCAAGAAGCAGTGGCTGTCTGTGGGCTGGCATGAAGGTCTTTGAGGGGTGGGATTATTACATTACATTACATTATTACATTACATTATAACATTATTACATTACATCAGCAGGCATGGAAACAACACTGATTTCATCGCACATCAATATCACCATCAGAGCTCGCGGGTGACCGGGTAAATTTTCCATGGGCAGCACTACTTTGAAAGGCATCTTCTCTTCTGAGCAGCAGGTCTCAACAGTGGGCTTAACGCATTCAGCAAACTATGCTGTGAACAGATGTTCTGTCACCCAGGCTTTGCTGTTCCACGTACAGAGTGCAGGCAGGGTAGAGTTCACATCACTCACAAGGGCCCTAGGATTTTCAGATGGTGAATGAGCACTGGCTTTAGTAACAAGTCACCAGCTGCGTTAGCCCCTAACAAGAGAGTCAGCCTGTCCTTTGAAGCTTTGAAGCCAGGCACTGACTTCTCCTCTCTGGCTATGAAAGGCCTGGATGGCATCTTCTTCCAGGGGAGGCTGTTTCCTCTACACTGAGCATCTGCTGTCTAGTGTAGCCTCCCCCATGAATGACCTGAGCTGGGTCTTCTCGATGACTTCCTGCAGCTCCTACATCAGCATTTGCTGCTTCACCTGCACTTGTCCGTTATGAGATGGCTTCTCTCCCGAACCCTCATGAGCCAACCCTGCTACGTTCAGAATTTTCTTCTGCAGCCTCCTCACCCTGCTCAGCCTTCACAGAATTGAAGAGATTAGGGTCTTGCTCTGGATGAGGCTTTGGCTTAAGGGCATGTTGGGCTGGTCTGATCTATCCAGACCACCCAGACTTTCTCCGTACCAGCAGGAAGGCTGTTTCTCTTTCTTACCATTCATGTGATCTCTGGAGCAGCACTTTTAATTTCCTTCAAGGACTTTCTTTGCTTTCACAACATGCCTAACTGTTTGGTTGGTGCAAGAGGCCTAGCTCTAGGCCTGTCTTGGCTTTCAAAATGCCTTCCTCACTGAGCCCCATCATTTCTAGCTTTTGATTTGAAGTGAGACAGGAGTGATTCTTCCTTTCACTTGAACACTTAGGGGCCAATGTGGGGTTATTAACTAACCTAACTTCGATACTGTGTGTCTGGGAACAGGGAGGCCTGAGAGGTAGGGAGACGGGGGGACAGCTATTCAGATTGTGTGGAGCAGTCCGAACGCACACCATGTTTATTGATTCAGTCTGCCATCTTCTACGGGCATAGTCTGTGATGCCCCAAAGCAATTACCATAGTAACCTCAAAGATCACAGACTGTCATAATGAATACAGTAATAGTGAAGAAGTTTGAAATCCTGGGAGAATTACCAAACTGTGATGCAGGAACCACAAAGCAAGCAGATGCTGTTGGAAAAATGGTGCCCACAGACTGGCTTGATGCAGGGCTGCTACAAACTTTCTCTTTGTAAAAAGCACAGCATCTGTGCAGCCCAAGTGTGAACACAAAGCCACCCAGGCCCTGCGGGTGGGGGTGGTGGTCACCAGAGGGCAGATGCGCTGTTCTCAGGGTGCCCGCCCCATGAGGGACTTTTCCTACCTGTCCCCGCTGTCCCTGCCCTCCTTCCCGGGCACACAGCCGGCCGACGTGGTGTCTCTGGAGTGTCCGTCCTTCGCCGCAGGTGACTCCTGGAAAGAGAAGGCAGAGCTGGGTGTGTGACAGCTGCCCCTGCTGGGCCGCTCTCCGCAGAGCACCTGCCTGCATGCGGCTTCGGGGTGCGAGTTCCCAGGGAGCAGCCTGAGATGCAAACACGTCCACTATGACCGGCACACAGGAAGCATGGCCTCTTCTGACTAGCATCCTGCCTTCAAGGAGAGTGAAGGCACCGCTGCTCACGCCTCCTTCAGCTGCCAGCCTAGACGGAGCCATGCCATCACCTCCCGGCAGAAAGGGCCGCCCCGGGGGCTGCCTACCATGCAGCCAACTCAGCCAGTGCATGCCCTTCCTCTGTGGCCCTGACCAACACCCTACCTGCTGGTGGGCATCCCCGTGCCCGGACACAAGAGAAAGAGAGGCTGCGGGGAGGGACGGGGTCTGCCCGAGCCCAGCGCTGAAGGCTGCGGCCCTGCCGCTGAGCCCGGGGGTGTGCAGCACACCTCTGCTGACCTAGTCACAGATGCCCTCTGCACCGCAGTGCTCGCCTAACCCCGTCATACTTCCCAAGGACCTCGCTGCTCGGGCGCACAAGGCAGCCCCTCCCTCCTCCAGCACCCTGGCTCCTTCCCAGGAACCCGGCCCACCCCTCTCAGTGACCACACGGCCCTGGCACCCCTGGTCTGCTACCTGGGCCGCGACAGAGAAGGGGGGGCCCGGGGGGGACACAAAGATGCAGAAACGTCCTCATGGAGGGTTACAGGGGGAGGGGAGCCCTGGAAGGTCAGCCTGGGATGGGCTCCGTGTACAGAGGCTGGCCTGGAAGATGCAGGGGACACCCGGGGAAAAACAGCTCCCAGAGACCAGGCTGGATCCCACTGGAGTGGGAACTCCACTGCATTCTACAACTTGCTAATTTCTAAAGTGGGGCCTGCTCGTGTGGATATCTGAGGTGCTACGGGAGTCATCACAATGAGAGTGACCATGCTTTCAATGGCTGGGCCCTTTGAGCTGACCCCAGAGGAGGACGGAGTACCCTCAGGGTGCCCCCTCTAGGGACTGGACCTGGCTCAGGGTGGGGAGTTATTCTGGAAAGTTCTGCACTTGCTCATGTTTTGCTGCAGCAAAACTTGGACAGCTGACTGCTCAGCAGAGCCACGGCCCCTCGACTGCTCGGCACTGGGATGGCAGAAGACCAGGGCGACCACGACGGTGTGAAACCTGGGGGGTCCCCAGCTGCCCTGGGAGCAGGGGCGCAGACGGGGAGCATGCTGGGGGAGGGGTGTTGGTTTGGAAAGCTCGGTGCGAGAGAGAGGAATCCCTGCCTGAGGACGGACAGGAGACAGGCCTCAACACCGGATGATGAGGCGGAAAGAAATCCCTGAAAGTAGCTAGCCCGGACTGAGCCGGCTGCTCTGTGATTTTTAGCAGGCCTGCCGGCCAGGCTGCAGGGGACCCACACGTGGAAGCGAAAGCAAAGAAAGCTCCGCCAGAAGCTCTGTCTTCTCCCTGCGGAGCCAAGTCGGCCCTGGGCCGGGCATGAGCGGGAGCCCCAGGCCGACGGGAGCAGGGCCGAGCCGCAGGCCTGGCCGCATGCACGAGGCAGCCCGAGGTTACTTACTCCTCGAGGGCGGGCCAGCTCCTCGACGCTCTGGCCAGAGCAATACAGACTGACGTAGTCCCCCTCACAGGCGTGCTTGCTCTGGAGGAGACAGGATGAGAGATACCCACCTGTGATGGCCCCGCCAGGCTGGCCCTGACTGGGACGCTCTTTCTTAAGGAGGGGAGGATGGTCCCTGGGGACCCTTTCCAGGGTCAGGGGACAAAGCTGTTTTTGCCACTGCCTGCCTCTGTCAGAGGGGATCCAGGTTTCCTGCTGGAGCCTCTCCAAAGATGTCAAGGGCGCTTTGGCCCTCCAAGTGCCCTGGAGGAGGTGTACTCCTCCACGCTCTGCTGCAGCAGGGACAGTGGGGGCCGCAGCATGGGACAGGGGGCAGTCACGGAGGGCGGGAGGATGGGGGGTGGGGGGCAATCACAGAGGGCGGCGGACAGGGGGCAGTCACGGAGGGCGGGAGGATGGGGGGTGGGGGGCAATCACAGAGGGCGGCGGACAGGGGGCAGTCACGGAGGGCGGGGGACGGGGGTGATCATGGAGGGCAGGTGGATGTGGGTTGGGGGGAGATCATAGAGGGCAAGAGGACAGGGGATGGGGGGGCGATCACGCACGGCAGAGGACGGGGGGCAATCATGGAGGGCGGGGCGCGGGGGACGAGGGGCAGTCATGGAGGATGGGGGGTCGGGGGCAGTCACAGAGGGCAGGGGACGGGGGCAATCATGGAGGGTGGGTGGACATGGGATGGGGACAATCATAGAGGGCAAGAGGATGGGGGATGGGGGGCGATCATGGAGGGCAGGAGAGCATCCCCACGCTGGAGGGCCGGCTGCAGGCGTCTGCACTTGTCCTGCCCCGTCCCCCCGTCCCCGTGCACAGAAGCCTTGTCCTGAGCCCGGAGGAGGCACTGAAGCCCGCCTGACCCACGGCAAGCAGGCCCCCATCCTCAGCACCACAGCAACTCAACACGCAACTGCTCCTGGGCCATCGGAGACCTCTGTGCCCTTCTCTAGAAACCCCCAACCACATGGAAAACCAGCAGCATTTATATCTCACGATTATGACAACAGATCATCTCTAAGTGGCCACTAACCCATCTGTGGAAAATGAGATCCTAGTTTGCTGGGAATCCACACAGAAGGTTTGCTTTCTGCTCTGGAAGCTAAGAGGCTACCATCTCAGCGGGGGACCTGCGCACCCCTCAGCCCAGCCACACCATGACAAGGCCCACGCCAGCAATGGCCTCGAGGGCGAGGACGGGTGGAGGCTTTCTTGGAGCAGGCAGGCCCGTGTGGAGGCGTGCGTGTTGAGTTCTCACCGAAGGCGTCTGGGGCGAGTCAGTGAAAGAAGTTTCGGAAGGAAGGCAGACAGTGTTCCCGTGAAAGCTGCTCTCCTGAGAAGACGAGAGAAGCCCGTCCAGGGTGCTGGGAGGCAGACTGGCCACGGGCGGCACGGCTAAGTCAGAGCTCTGAGACTGGTGGACAGGTGGGAAGTGTGGAGAGGAAGAGGAGGTAGACGGAAGGAAAGGCTGGACGGAAGCTTGGCTGTGAGGCACGAAATCCTGCGAGTAGGACCTAAACACGGACTTGTACTGCAGAGTCAGAGTGGGACACAGACACGCACATGAGAGGAGGGAAGAAAACAGACAAGAGAAAAAAGTTGTTAGATTAACTTGGCTGAGCCGTGACGGGCTGATCAGTCTTTCGAACGAAGACACTGCTCAGGCCAAACCACCCCTGTGGCCCTCTGGCTGGAGGTCCCCCCACCCTGCAGCCCCTTGAGAAGGGCCTGAAGACCACCCAGAACTATCCGCAGTGTCTACACGGTGGGATGCAGTGCCCCCCACCACACACTGTGGGGGGGGGGGGTCCCATCCTCTGTCAGAAAATTGAACCTATGTGGTCTTGTCTATGCCAACTGTCCTCCCAGGAACCTCATGACTGAACCGAGCGTGTGCAGACACCTGGTCACATTTACTCATTTTGATTTTTTTTTGATGAATCTGATTTTAGTCCTTGAAAGTCAAATACCGCAAGCCTTTTCAATATGGTAGTCACTTCAAATCCTTTTGGAAGGGAAGTGATAAGCTTTAAAAATGGTTGAAAGAATTGTGTTCCCAAAACACTAAACATTTCTGAGTGCATTTCCTTTTCTGCCCATCTTTTTTCTTTCTTTTTCTTTCTTTAACAGATGAAGTGCAACGCCTCTGATGCCCCCTTAGGACCGCAAGGCTCTGCTCTCCGAGGGTCCCATCACGACAGAAAAGCCTTAAGTCAGGCTGGGCAGAGAGCAGAGCCTGTGAGCACAGACTCAGGCCTGGGCTCTGCTGTGGAAGGAGGGTCGGAGACCACTAGGCTAACAGTCCCCTGGGGTGGCCAGGCCTGCCCACTGTCCTAGAGAAATGGGGACAAATGTGCGGCAGGGGCTGAGTTTGGAGCCCCTGCCAGGCTCACTTCCCATCATTAGCGGCTGGAACTTGACAAAAGCCCGCCCAAAAAACAAACAGGCACACCGCTTCCTCAACTGTCCTCTCTACATTCTGGCATAGGATTTTTTTTTGGTGAGGTGTGTGGGATCTTAGTTCCCTGATCAGGGGTTAAATCTGGGCCCCTGGCGGTGAAAGCAAGGAGTCCTAACCACTGGACTGCCAGGGAGTACCTGGCACAGGATTTTTGAAATCCTGAAATGGAGCAAGAAGAAATGAAGTCCTAATCTAATGAGAGGCTAAAGCCACTCATTCCTTTAGGGTTTCTCTAAAGCTACACTTCAACCTGGAGGGAGAGCTGCTATCACTCAAGGGACAAGCACACCCCCCTCTGCGCCCCCGACCCCCAATCCCCCGGGGTTTGTATCAGAGTTCGGAGCTCCCCGCTCCTTGGTGAGGCCACAAGCCCCATGGCTGTTGGTTTATATCCAACCCAGGGTACCTGCCTAAAAACTGACTGTCCCCACACATCTTACTCCCACCTAATTCAGAAGCTCAAGGCCAACCCAGACACACAGGGGAACGCATGAAGAAGCACAGTGCCGACAATGAGGCCCGGGCTCCTGTTGGTCCCATCTGTCCACGTGCCTTCTTTGGGGAAAAGCCTGCAGCAGCGGAGCCCGGGCTCAGCTGTCCTCCCCCGGGACTGTGGAGCCCGAGCGTCCACGGGGCACCTGCCTCAGGGCCAGGGGCCACCGCCTTCCATCTGACCTCTCAGAGCAGCCGTCCAAGCCAGGGCCTTGCTGGGGGCGACCGAGGTGTGGCGTGTGTCTGGCTTTGGGGGGTTTAACCTCTGGAGGATGCTCCCCCCACAGCCACAGGGAGGCACTCTCACTGGCAGAGAAGTTGCCCGGAGAGGACCACGAGTGAAATGCATCAGCTGAGGGAGGGGACGGCCCAGCCGGTCCTGGGAGACCATCTGAGGGACCCCCGTGCCAGCCATTCTGGGGCAGTGGCTGCAGACTCCCGCAGGAGTCCGGCCCCCAGGCCTGCCAGATGCTCACTTCTGCGCACAGGGGCCTCTTTCCTGGCCACGACTCTGCCTCGCTCATAATTCACCTTCGGTGTGGCTATGATCAGAATGTTGGTGCCCCCTCCCAATCTATATGTTGAAATCCTCACCACCACCCCCCCTCCCCCGGCCAGATGCTGGGGTCTGTGCTACAGAAAAGAGGCTCTACCCTCTGCCACGTGAGGACCAAGAAAAGTCTGTGACCAGGAAGAGGGCCTCGCCCAACCATACTGGGCCTGGATCTTCTGGCCTCTGGAGCTGCGAGAAACACACTTGCTGTTATAAGCCGCCCAGGCTGCAGTAATCTGTTACAGCAGCCAGAACGAACCAGGCCAAACGCTGGCTCTGGGGTCCTGACGTGTGCTCACTGACATCCCCATCCCTGAAGCCTGAAAATGCATAGAGCACTGGAGCGGGCCCTGCAGTAGCCAAGCCCTAACTTACACACACACACACACACACACACACACACACACACACACACACACACACACACACACACACACACACACACACACACACACACACACACACACAGACAGCAGGTGCCTTTTCTGGGAGCTGAGGCAACTGCTGAGAGGGCATGTGCTCAAGTCATGCGGACCTGCACCTGGGTCCTGAGCTCTCTGCCTGTGTGGCCTCGGGCAGGGGGTGTGAGCTCTGGAGCCTCAGTCTCCTCCTCTGTAAACCGGGGCTGGAAACAGCAGTTCCTCCCAGGGGCTCTGTGCACGTTTACTGAGATGCCCTGTACGTTCGGCTGGGTGGCAAGCAATCAGCGTCAGCTCTCCTCTCCTGCCCTCCAAGATACCCTTAGGAGCGCCTCGAAAAACAGCCGAGGCGTTTAATTAACTCAGTACATACTTGCTGAATGAGGGAATGCTTAGGAATGGATCCTAACGCTGTTATTAACCAAGGTGCCCAGAATGTCGCCTGACTCAGCAGTGTCTCGACGGCGGGTGCGGGGGGTCGTGGGCAAGCTCCCTGGCTGCGCAGGTGCGGGTCTGCAGGGGAGGCCACCGAGGGTGAGGACAGCAGAGGAGAGGGCGGCCGCCAGGAGAAGGGAAGGAGGGTGGGCGTCCCTGGGACAGAGCGGCTGGCTGCCCTGCCCTCCTTCCCTCAGCAACAACTAGGCTGCCTGGGCTCAGCTCTGGTATTCAAGCTATGCGGTCCTGCTGGGACAGCAGCCAGGCCTGAACATCACCTTCAGGGGGCGGTGGGGGGGAGGGGTGCGATGCACGGCTGCTCTCTAATCACCACGGGGGGGCGGGGGGACACGCACGGCTGCTCTCTAATCACCACCAGGCCAGTACCCCCCCCCCCCCCCCCCCCCCGCCCCGGCTCTCAGGCTCATGCCTGCACCGCAGCCAACAAATCCGGTATCCACCACCTCTGCTGAGTGGTGTTTCCAGGCCCTTTAAGATCATATTTATTTCACAAGGCCAGGGAGAACGCAGGGCTGGCCACGGAGCAGAAAACACGCCTTCCCCACAGCCTGGAGTCTATTTTAGGATCTGGCTGGTGCTGGGCTTTGCTGCTGCGCTCTGCGGCAGGAATTTTTATTTATAGCCGGAGTAAGACTGTCTGGACCCAGGAGTCTATAATGGGACAGGCTGCCTGTCGGGAGGCGGCATGTTTCTGCGGAAGATCTATGCATGCTCTTCTGAGGAGGAGAAGCAGTCGGAAGAGGGGCACCGGGCCCCCGGCGTCAGCCCTGATCGCACAGTCAAAGAGCCAGCAAGAGCCATCTCATGATGGTGGGGATGACAGCTATTCTCACTGAAGGCGTCCCGCTGGGCAGATGAGGTGCTGAAGGTTTTATGTGAACCACCTCGTTTACTCTGCACCGAGTTTACGATCCTCCTTACAAAGATGCAGAGATCTTTTCTCTACGTGTCTGACGTGTATGTCAGGCCTTGGCTCACTGCCTCTTGCAGGCTGGTCATCACTTGGGAGGTCTCTGAGTGGAGCGAGCAGACCAGACCTCGCAGAGCTGCAGGATCGCATGCTTAGGGCCTGTCACGTGCCCAGAGTGCTCCCTGAGAGTGAGGGGGCCGTCCCAGCACCATCTCTGCCAAGGTGAGCCCAGCCGTGGCTTACTAGGTCCATGGCTGCCCCTTCCAGCCTGTCTCTGCATCTTCGTAAGGAGGACTGTAACTTGGTACAGAGACATAGGAGCCACCAACCCACTCTTCGAACTACACACCTGAACGAACCACCGAGAGTCTTCTGGATGTAAAGGAGGAGGGCAAATGCCTTGATGTGTGGCCTTGATGTGCTAGGTAGCAGAGCTTCCTGAAGCTGGGCAGGCACCAGTTTTCAGTGCCACTTCCTTTCCATTATATCCTGGCATGAAAGATGACTAGGGACAGGCCCTGCACTGTGTTGGCAAGAAAGCAGGAAAGTAGATCTTCATAAGGAAACTTCTGATTCCTCAACATGACAGACATTTCATCTAATCCCTGTGATTATCAGAAGGCCAGGGCCCAGAGGAGGCAGTCAGCATGCCAGCAGCCAAGGGCTGAGGCTGCAGGCCAGAGGACCTTGACCATTACGGCTACTCCAGGGTGACTTGGGCAGGCCCCAAGCTCTGGAGAACATCTAGCCCTGCCAACCACAGCAACTCCACAGTGACTGGGGCTCCACGCTCTGGAGAACGCCCAGCCCTACCAATCATGGGAGATGCGCTCATCTGAGTGAATGGACTGACTGTCGCCACCAAGTGTTTGTACACTCTTGGCTCCAACGAGACTCGTGACTTCAGGGTTTTTGAAGGCTACTTAGCTTGGACAGCTTGTTTGGGGGCTTAAAGTTTTATCCCTCATTTGGGAGAAAACATATTCAAAGGAGCTGCAATTCGAAGGTGATTTGGGCTTTCTTCTCCTATAGTGAGCCGGTGGGAACTATAGCCCAGGGCCAGTCCTGGGCTCAGCGGACGCGTCCTTCAAATATGCCTGTGAGTGTCCACACAATGTGGGCCTCAGTTATTTCTCTTGGAAGAAAGTAAAGCTTTTAGCCGCTGCAAAACACACAGCCTCGATTTCCTGGGGCGGGATCTCCTGGAAACCACCACACCTGATTCAGTTCTCAGATGGGA